CCGGCTAAGGATCCATTATAAGCGGAACGGTATATAACGGTACGGTAATCAGGATCCATATAACGGTAACAGTCTCACTAAAACCCAATGGTGACCCACTTCATTCCGAATTCACACAAAACAAAGTATAACATTATCACAAACACAATATTCAAACATTGCCAATCAAATCATATTAATCAATTAAACATCGTAATACAATGCACAATTAAACATTCAAAATCAATGCAAATAAATAAATAAATAGTATTAACAATAAACAACGATAACAAAATAAATAACAATAATAACAAAAAAAATAATGAAAATAATTCAATGAATAATAAAGATAATAAATAATCAGGGCACTCTATTTATTATGTATTAAGTTATAAAATTAGTCTAATTAAACTTATTAATTATGTCATTAATTAAAACTAGTCTAGGTTCTATTGAAATTTCGACAGCACCTCCCCTAAAATTTGACTAAACGACTAACACCACAATTCCACACAACTTATAATCATCTAAGCTCATCCGTTCGGGCCCAATTCAAATCAACTTCTCATACCCGTCCCCATTAACCTTATTTAATCAATCATCTCGATCAAATTCAATTCACGACAACCCATCCAGTCGGGCAATCAAATCCAAAACCAACCATTCCGCTTCAAAACCTACATATATTCCATCCCATCACACTCACATTATATACACTTAATAATCTCCAAATCAACTAATCACAACAATTTTATATTTAACCTCCAAGCCATGGACTTTCAAGAATATTATTAATTACCCTATAAACTATTATACTTGTTCTAAGCCCTTAGATTATTTCAACTTCTCCTAACAATATTTATTAAAAAACTCCTAGCATTAGGCTTACATCCAATATTAGTTAGGAATTTCTTATCTCAATATTAAACCTCCTAATTATAATATGGTTCATGTAATTTATTTGACATGTTCTAAACGAATCTGCAATTACATTTATTCTAAAATGTCCTAAAACCAGTTAACTACTCACTATTCGCATCGCAATTACCGCACATTAACCCATCTTAATTTATTTACCAAAAGGACTAATAGATGTCTATTATATATTTAAGCTATTCCCAACAACCTAATTTCTTATTATTTCAATTTAATCTATTTAAAATTACTCAATTAAATTCATTAATCAATTAATTCTTTATAATACAAAAAATTTGAGAATTGGACTTCGTTAGAAACATTACCAATTGAGAATCGGGCGAACGATTACCAATTGAGAATCGGGCGACGATTCCGTGATCAGCGTGAAGAGAAGAGAATTCTGTCTCTCGGGGCCTCGCCGGAGTGTCGCCGGTCGGTCGCCGAACCGCCGCCACCAGCTGCCGTGCACAGTGGCCAGAAGTCGTTCTTGCCCAGAATCACGCACTTCATACACCTTTAGAATCAAAATTTCACCAAGAACTCAAATCCATGCTCCAATCGTTGAGTCTATGGTCCGTTTGGCCCAAACCAACGCCGACCGAAGCATAATGCCGCCATCAATGGTGGTTTCATCACCGAAGCCCAATCGTCGAAACCAAGGGATGGAAAACACGCGCAAGACCAAGAGGAGTCGATCGAAGGTCCTCTCGCCGGCTGTATCTGCCCGAAACGGCGAGAATCGCCGAAGAAGAGAAATCGGAGGGCAACGTCACTTTGAGCCTGATTCCTTTCGTTTCCGGCGTCTACTGCGTGAACGGAGACCATAGGTGGGTTCCTATCGTTGAGCACTTGCAGTTTGGGTGCTTGGTTGTCGGAATCTGTGGTCGATGGCCGGAAAACGCAATGAATAAGGGAGGAGGAGGCTGTCGCGCGACTGGAGAAGAAGAAGGAGAAGAGAGGAAAAAAAAAAAGAAATTATGTCGGTTTCTAGATCATTCCGGTTCGAAGCAGAGGGAAAAAAAAAAGGAAATTATGTCGCGTTTCTAGGATCCCCATTCCGGCTTCGATTCGAACCGATTGGTCTGATTTCAACGAATGGTGGCCCTTGGTATTTTTGCCTCGGTTTGCAGGTTTTTCACTTGGTTTTCGAGGTTTATTCGGTGTCGTTTTCGGAAAAAATCGATTTGAAAGATTTCGGGTCCGGGTTCGATTTATTTTGATTAAATTTAGTTAGATTCCATAACATTTCTCCATCTTTCACTCCATACACAACTAAAAACAATACATAATAATGATACTTCGATTTTGGATAATTAATTCATATAATTAACTCACCCACATATATAAATATTATTTTATAGACTGGATTAGTAACTGCGGAGTTTTATAATTATTGCCAAAAATTTTTTAAAGTTGTTATCAAATCGACAGGATTCCCGATAATAATATTTTTGGGCTTCGGCCCAGGCTGGCAAATTTCGGGCTCGAATTGATACTGTTATTCTATTCGCAGCCCACAAAAGTCAAACATTCTGATTTTTAATCTTAATAAAAAATTAAAGGTTTCAAAAAATAAAAATTCGGGGGTATTTCAATCTCCCCCTTAAGACAGACAATTCGTCCTCGAATTGGAATCTAGTAAGAGAGACTAAGAATAGACACACAGAGAATTTCAAAGTCATAAGAAATTACTTCCAACACCAAGGACACAGCTCAAGAGTGGATAATATGAACCTAGGAAAGAAAAGAGTCAAGTATTCTAATTGTATTTCTATTGCCAACCATCCTATTTAGTGCCATTTGGCTGAAGTTTACGAGAAACTTAAGCTTATCGTCTAAATCTCCAAGTGCTATCTTCGGACAGCTACTGAAATCTTTTAGAAAATCTCTTTTGAATAAAATCTTACAATAAAACTTGGTTTAACAAGAAAAATATATTTTTCTCAAGATTATATAATTTTATTTGAAAATTTAAATTTTATGAGACATTCCTTCGTGAAAGCCAAACACATAATTTACAAAAAGCAAACAATTGAAATTATAATTTACTTATAATAATAAGAATTAACTCGTTTAATTTACATATATTATTACTAAAACTTTTCTTAATCAAAAGTTCAGAAACTACTACTTTTTAACTCGTTTAATTTACATATATTATTACTAAAACTTTTCTTAATCAAAAGTTCAGAAACTACTACTTTAATCCAAAACTTTAAGAAAAATCGTATTGTAACTTTCGTTGTCTATTAGTATCACAGGGCGACTCAAGCTCACTCTCTTGGTTCTTACCTATACAAATCCTATTCTTCCTATAATATTCTTATCATATACCAGTTCCACTATTCGATGACTCCTGGACTAAAGGGCCTCACTGCACTCCATAACTACCTTACCTTTACAAAGATTTTTAATGCTTTCAAGACTGTATTCTATTCGCAGCCCACAAAGTCAAAATTTTGGATTTTTAATTTAATAAAAATTCAAAGGTTTCAAAAATAAAAATTCGGGGTGTTTCAACCTTAGTCTTTTTTTTTTTTTTTTTTCTATCAACATCAAATTTTCTTTTTTGTCTATCAACATCAAATTTCATTAAATCATGTGTTCTCCAGATGAATGATGGGTTAATTTTTAAAATTCAAATTGGTAATTTTTTAATATAAATTATTTCTTGTTATATGTTAAGTTCTGAAAAGAGATTTATTCTGAAAGGAGATTTATTCTTAATAATAACTTTTGTTTTTATTTTTTATTTTCTTTTTCATTACTGAATTAATTTATAACTACTATTACTTTAATTTAATAACATATTTATATCTCACTTATAATAAATAGATGGCCTCTTAACGAATAATCATTTTTAATTTCTTGATATTTTTTCTCTTATATTCTAAATCTGTTTGATTTGAAAGAAAATAATATTTATGATATTGAAAAAAGACTAGAACTATATATTTTTATTTTGAGTCATTTTTTGGGGTTTCAAGAATTTGTATATATTCGCATATATTCCTTTCTCCAATACATTGGATAAGTAATACTGATTTGTTATTATTTTTCATTATAATTTTACATAGATATTGATTTTGGGTTGAGGGTAGGGTTGGAGATTGTGTGATGACTTTATATTTTTACTAGGCACCTATTAGGGTTTTAAAAATGTGCATTACGGACTGAAAGATTAGTTCTAAGGATTTGGTTGAACTTTATTTTGAGACCACTTCATTATATAAAAATAGAATTAAATATATAAAAAGTAATATTACAAGTAATTTGCATTATATAAAAATAGAATTAAATATATAAAAAGTAATATTACAAGTAATTTGTACGAAAAAGTCTAATACAAATTAACCAATTGTATTTATTTTAATATAAACTTATCCTTTAATATTATATATATAAAAAATTAAAAGAGTAAAAAAAAAGTATATAACGAGAATAGTCAACGTATAACGCACACCATAAAAAAAAAAAAGATATATAAATACAGAAATGGTACCATAATTAGGAAAATAGATTTCTATATAAATTAAGAAGATGAACTCCTAACTAACTAAGAATATAAACTTCTAATCGATATGACATTTACTAATTTGATAACACTTTTTTTTTAAATGGATGTATTAAATATTGTGTCAGTTTTCAACGCATCAAAGTTATTAGCCGTTCTTATTTTTGTATTGACTTTCTCTTTTGGCAACAACTTTCCTTTGGTATATCCTTATGTGATAACAAAAAAAATGGCAAAAGGAAATAAATAAATAAATCTGATAATAAAATATAACCTCAAATAAAAAGGACACCATCTACAAGGCAAACCACAAAAACCAAAAGGCTTTATCTCTGAGAGACATGGCAAGCCAAGACCAGGGCAAGCCAAGGACCAGGCCGGCTTGAAGGCTTCTGGCAGGATGTTCAAAGCTCCATTGCGCCTCACAGAGTGGAAAGTAGCACTGAAGCTTTAAGCGGCATCCCCTTAACGAGTTCTGGCAGGAAGACTTTCAGCCACACAAGCAAGCCCTCTGCTTCTAAAATACCAACCCAATCTACAAGAGAATACCTGCTTCTTGTTTCAAAATTGAAAGACCCATTGTAACAAGAGCCCTCTGCTTCTAAAATACAACCCAATCTACAAGAGAATACCTGTTCTTGTTCAAAATGAAAGACCCATTGTTGAATCCCAACTCATACTTGAATATATTGATGAGACTTGGAAACACAGCCCTCTGTTGTTGCCTCAGGATCCTTACCAGAAGGCCATGGCTCGTTTCTGGGCTAACTTTATAGATGACAAGGTATGCAGTCTTTCCTTACGTTATCTAAGAAGAAATAGTATAGAAAATAATTCAAAAAGCTAACAATTTAAAACTTTCAATTGAATTTCTCTTGAATTTGTTTTTCGAATAATTTTCTTTTAATTTCTTTAAATCTTTTTAGTATAAAGTGTTTATATTCGCCAAGTAGAACAAGTTTATAAATTTAATTGTTGTTTGGAACTTTATTTTTTTAATCTATGAATGTCTGTGAAAAAATTTGAGTTTAAATTAAGATAAGGAATTGTTGTTATCTCATAAAATTGGAGTCCAGCCCAGATGAAATCCGGATTATTCATATTATTGAATCATATATGTTTTTGACCGAGTCTAAATTTGAGAAATGTCACAAGTATATAAAGCATTGACATGTTCAAATTATAATTTCTTTTTTAATAAAAATTGAGATAAGTGATCTGAGCAATAATATATATTATTAGGATTAAAATAAACGAAAAAAAGCTACAAATTAATTAATTAAAAAAATATAAAAGTAATTGAAAAAAATTAGATGAGAGACAAACAGAAAGTTGAAGCTGTCATTTCGAAATGAAAAATTCCCAGACTTGGTATGTACGTCGGAATAGAATTCTATTAGGTTATCTTGACGTACGAAATAATATTAAAAGATAAAATAATTTTTTATAACATTATAGTAAAAACTATATAATAAAATAATAAATTATATTTTATCGAGATATGCTGAAAAGTTATAATGTTAAGATATGTCTTCTTAAATATCTTATTAAATTTTTCATAAAGTATGGAATAGTAGAAGCCATACATGGTATGACCTTCATACTATTGATGTAACTATTGATGTATTTTTCAATAGTGATAATAATTTCGAAAATTTAACTAATTATATTAAAATAAGAAATTAAGTATTTTTTTTATTTTATGTTTATGATTTATTATAGATGATTGTTTATTTACTTAAACATTAATATATTACTTATTTAATGTATTATGTCCTATTTAATGTATTATGTCCTATTTAATGTATTATGTCCTAAGCGTGTGGATGCCCTACTTTTTTAAAAATTATCATGTCTTGTACGTTTCCATATTTCGTGTACCGTGTCCATGCAACTTAATTCTTAGTATGTGAGACTACTTTATATATTAAGCTAATTAACCAAAGTTTCTTTTTATTGCTAATAAAAAAATGAAATGTTTTTTTTTTAAATTTATTTTTTTGTCATTGAAATAAGAAATTAAGTACTTTTTTTATTTTATGTTTATAATTTATTATTATGTTTATAATTATTATAAATAATTTTTTTTATTATTTGAAAATATTAAATGTTATAACTTATTTAGTGTAGTGTTGTTAAGTGTATGGATAGTCCCTTTTCTAAAAATTGTTGTATCCCATATATTTCTGATCTTGTGTCCTCTGTGTTTTCGTGAAACCTAACTTCTGGTATATGACGATTACGTCCTACCACCAAGCTAATCAATTAACGCTTTCTTATTACCAATGAAAATTACCAATAAAAAATGAAGTATTTTTTTTTTAAATTTGTTTTGTGGCATGAAATAAGAAATAAAGTATATTTTATCTTCATGATTTATTATAAATGATTGTTTATTTATTTGAAATATTAATGTATTTTCTTATTTAGTGTAGTGTGTTCTAAGAGTGTGGATGTCCTAATTTTTTTAAAATTATCATATCTCGTAGTTTTTATACCTCGTGTCCGATGTCCGTACAACCTATCTCCTCGTATATGAGACTACTCAATACACCAACCTAATCAATTAAGGTTTTTTTTTATTATCAATAAAAAACGAAGTGTTTTTTTCTTAAATTTGTTTTTGCGTCGTTAAATTAAGAAATTAAGTATTTTTTGTTTTAGGTTTATAATTTATTATAAATACTTATTTATTTATTTGAAATATTAATGTATCACTTATTTAGTGTACTATGTTCTAAGCATGTGGATATCCTTACTTTTTTTTAAAAATTGTTGTATCTCGTATGTTCTTGTATCCCATGTCTCTGTCCATGCAATTTAGCTCCTGGTTTATAAGACTACTCAATATACCAAGCTAATCAACGAAGGTTTTTTTTTATTACCAATAAAAAATGAACTATTTTTTTAAATTTATTTTTGTGTCATTGAAATAAGAAAATTTTTTTTTATTTTATGTTTATAATTTATTATAAATGATTGAATTTATTTTTGTGTCATTGAAATAAGAAAATTTTTTTTTATTTTATGTTTATAATTTATTATAAATGATTGTTTATGTATTTGAAATATTAATGTATTACTTATTTATTATACTGTATCTTTAAGTGTGTGGATATGCTACTTTGTAAAAATTATCGTATCCGTATGTTCTTGTACTCGTGTTCTCTGTTTGTGCAACCTAGTTCTTAGTACATGAGACTACTAAATACACAAAACTAATCAATCAAGGCTTTTTTTATTACCAATAAAAATGAAGTGTTTTTTTTTTTAAATTTATTTTTATGTCATTGAAATAAGAAATTAATTTTTTTTTTATTCTTTATATTTATAATTCTATATTACTAAACTTGATTGTTTATTTATTTGCAAAAGAAATTAATTTTTTTATTTTATATTTATAATTTATTATAAATGATTGTTTATTTATTTGAAATATTAACGTATTACTTATTTATTTGATGCAGTGCATGTATGTCCTACTTTTTTAAAATTTTTGTATGAAAGAGGGTTGGTGAAATGTTAAAATATAAAAAATAAAAAATAAAAAATAAAAAAAGCTGTAAGTATATATTACTGTTGGTTCCTACTGTAGAAAATGTAAAGATATAGTTTGATTGATTTTGTAGAAAACGTTTGTGATAACTAATTGTTGGTCAAAATTTAATTGTTGGTCCCTACTGCTTTTATTTCTGATTTTTTAATTTTTAATAATTAATCAAATTTGTTGGTCCTACTCTTTCTCCTTACGCTGAGCAATTTTAGAGGCTTACACTTGACAATTTCAGAGGTTTGCACTTGATTTCTATATAATATAAACTACTCTGCTTTTATATATTATATAGATTTTGAGGATTTGTTATAGACTATTCGACTTGGTGCGTATGTATGGAATATAATTCCATACTAAAGGCTCATCATAGACTGACTAGGGATGACAATGTGTGCGTTTAAATGCACTGTCCGAATTCGAACCCGATTATAAATTAGATATCTGAATCAAAATCCGATTATAAATTAGGTACTCAAAATCTTTTAGAAATTCACCTTTAGTATTCAAACTTATCCCGAATTCGATTATAATTACTCGTTAAAATATCCAAATATATGGGAATAACTCATATTAGGTTCTGTTGTTAAGGCTGTTGCCTTCTTTATGCTACAAAAAAAAAAAAAAAAAAACCCAAATGTAGTTAAATACTCATTTAACAGTAAAAATATATTTTTTTAAATAAAATATAAGTAAAAATTATAAAATTTTTTTTAAATCAAAACATATAAGTAACAAAATTATTTAAAAATTTATTATTTTGGACATTAATAAAAAAAATATAATATAAATATTAAATATAACTATAGCCAATCAAATCCACAAAAAAAAGATACATAAATATATATAATTTCTTTTAAAAAATAATCTATCTATTAAATATTTTTGTAAAAAATATAATATAAATATTAAATATAACTATAGCAATAATCACAATAAAAAAGATACATAAATATATATAATTTTCTTTTAAAAAATAATTATTTTAAATATTTTTGAAACATTAATTAAATGAGTAACTGGTGGCAAATATCCAAGTCATTGAACCCGAACTCGATATGGGTAGTAAATATACTAACTAAACCTGTCCCAAACTCATTTATTCATTATTTGAACCTGGAAAATTAGATTAGATAGGATTGGTACCCATCGAATCGGTTAAAATTGTCATACATAATGTTATGCATGCTCCACACAAACATAGGACAAAAGAAGAAATAATAACTCTTTTTCTAAAAAGAACTCAAAAAATGAAATAGTTGTTTAGTCTCAAATATGTTAGAGTCTGTTGGGTCTGCGTTCATTAGAATGTCTTAAGGCGTATGATGGTAGTGTGGCTTCACGGGCTGTGGACCTGTTAGTCCAAAAAGGGGGGAGGGGGAAGATAGACAAGAGGGGCAAAAATAGATAGTTGAGAAGATAGAGAGAAAATACAGAATTTAGGAGTTGGAAAAATAAGAGAGAGAGAGAGAGAGAGAGAGAGAGAGAAAAGAGAGAGAAAGAGTGAATGTTAATGCTTTCAAGTTTGATATCTTGAATTTCGTGTCATTTACAATAGTTTCACCCCTATATATAGGAGTTTGAGGAGTGCACTCCAAGAAAAGTAAATATTTTAGAATTTATATACAGTCTTATGTCACCGATATATTATTTACCATATATAATGTATATATACATCATTGGACCTCTTGGCCCAGGTGCCCTACATAGGTCCTTTGTGGTGAGTCCATAGGCTCATGTGCATTGCAAGCCGACTTAATGATCCTAATGGTGTGTCCGGTCGCTTGAAAGGTTGCGCCTTCTTTTAATGTATATGTCTTTTGGCAAGCCCTTTTTCACCTATTATAAATGGCAAATTATTGATATTATCTTTCTCATTCATTCCTCTAGTTTCCCTAACCTTCTCCCTTTTCCCAAACAATTTGCTTTTTGCCCTTATATCCCTATGTTCTGGCCAATCTCCTACTGGTGTTCCATTCATCGGTTGCCTAGTGTCATTTTTGCCTTTATACATTCATTTCTTAATATGGAGACTGCTTATCCTGAGTAAGAATGCCTTGGTCATGTTATTGATCGAGCATTCTTCAACCTATATTGATGAAGTCACATACGTGGACACAATAATTTGACTAGCAAATTCTTAGTCCATTTTTAAAAGGCAAAGGTCGGTCGTCTTTTGTTTAACTTTGTTTGCTACTGAGGCATCTTCTCCTCCTTTGGCTCCTTCCTAATAATGTGTCTATTTGAAATAAGACCCTTACGAATTAATTGATTTTTTCTAAAGAAATTCTCCTTTGGTGTTCCCGCTTAGAGCCCACCTACCAATCTTTATAGAAACCAATTAGTATCCATGATCTTCTTGAGTTTTATTTTCAGCCTATTCCAATTTGACGGTCTCTTCTTCTCACAAATGTTCTCTTTTTGTCCTACTCAACTAACTGCTTTACCTTTAGGTTTGGTCCCGTGTCCCATTCCCTTTTGGACATGGTTATTTTGTAACATTATACTACCACCTAATTAAATATTAGTTAATACATACCTTATAATATATATTAATAGACAAATTTTATTAGTTAATATAAATTAATAGGAGTCTTATAATTTTTATAAGTTTAAAACTTTTTATATGCAAAACAAAAGAGAAACTCAATTTTATATGTAGATATTAATAGACAAATTTTATTAGTTAATATAAATTAATAGGAGTCTTATAATTTTTATAAGTTTAAAACTTTTTATATGCAAAACAAAAGAGAAACTCAATTTTATATGTAGAATAAATAACTACCTTTCGAGATCAAATATACATGCATAGCCGTAATTAATATGCATATAACATTTTACGTTTCTTAGGATAGGATTCCTCCTAAGCATTTCCAAAATAATAGAACCATAATATATTAAATTAGATAATAATTTTTTATTTAAATATAATTTGATTTTAAATAGAAAATTAATATAATCAATCAAATTAAATATTTCTTAAAAATATTTTTTTTATTCCTTAACTAATTAATAAAGGGTCAATTTTATTTAATCGTACAATATATATTTGCTATATACTATCTACTTATACATTACATATGTAAAATAAAATGAATTTATTAAATTATATTTTGACATATTGCATATAATCTATACTATATATAAATGTGGAAATATAAGGGAATAATGAGATTTCCGATAGCACCCTTAATAAAATTTGAATATCCTAACATAACCTTAAAATTTGAATTATCCTAACATAACCCTTAAACATACACCTTAATCATGACAAATTAACAAAATTATATTCTTAGTTGATTCGGATCATTCAATTTGTTAAAATTAGTTTTTTAAATACAACTACATACAAGATAATTTAAACATTTCAAAATGTTATATTTTTATCTTTTTTAAACACTTAACTTTTAACAAATATATATCGATAATGACGAATTTTAAACAAATTTTTATACTTTTACTTTTTTAAACCATATTATTTATCTTTTATCATTGATTATTCAATATCAATCTTCAAAATTATCTCTACTTTAGGCAGGAGCAGATAAAAAAACAGATAAAATATATTCTTTTTTTTTCTTTACTGTTTTCTGTATGACTATTGCATTGGAGATACTGTTTCAAAACAAAATAAATTTTCACAATAGAATACTTCATAGCATATTTATATTTAGACAGGAAAAAAAGCAAAAAAAAAAATTTCTTTGTATGGATTGCTAGTGAAAATTGAGGGCTTTATTTGTTAGAGAATAGAAATTTACCTTTTATTTAATACTTTTTTATTAATTCAATTAAATTTTACAATTATTATATTTTAAACATAATAGCAGAAACAAAAATACTTAAATAAAATCAATACTCGGCATCCTTAGTATGATTTGCTTCTGTTAATTTCTAATTACTTGCAGCTTGGCCTCTAGTCTTCTTCTTTTTTTTTGGGTCCGATCAACATCATAATAGCTATTTCCTAGGTTTCTAAAGATATTCTCTAAATGGTATATCCTTTTGCCAGAAGGCCTATTGAAGCTCGAATATGGCATAGCAGGCCGTTGTGAAATCTGATTTTGAAAAAGACTTTACTATACGGTCAATGCGAACTAGTTTGCGTCTTCAGACATTTCACGTGTGTAATATAATTTCATTTCTTGTATATAACTATAGACTTCAAGCTTCCTGAAAAGAGCGCTTTAGTTCTTAACTTAAAATCAGATTTTTTTTTATTTTATTTTCTTTTTGCTATACTGAATAATCTTATAACTACTATTACTTAATTTAATAACACGATTTCATATTTCACTTATTAATAAATAGATGCCGCCTCTTAACGATCTTACAGCCATTTTTACATTTCTTGCATATTTTTCTCTTAATATTCCCTTAAATCTTGTTTGAATATGAACAGACAAATAATGTTTACCAACAAAATTGAAAAAAGATTAGACACTATATATTTTCTATTTTGAGCTCCAATTTTTTTAGAGTTCAAGAATGTATATATGCCGCATCATATATCCTCTTCTCCATACATTGGTAAGCTAACTATTGATTTGTTAATTCATCTTTTCATTATAGTATTCTATATAGACTATTTGATTTTGCGGTGAGGCCCTAGGCTTTCGGAGATTGTGCCGACTGACTTTAATTTTTTTTACTACGGCACCAACATTTAGAGGTTTTAAAAATCTACATTCATGCGACTGAAAAGATTAGATCTAAGATTTTGGTTGAACATTTAAATTTTAGACCACTTCATTATACACAAAATTAGAACTTAAAACTATATAAAAAATTAAATCTACAAAGTAATTCTGTCACCAAAAAGGTCTGAATACAAACTAACCAATCTGTCATTCTATTTTTAATCTAAAGTTATCGCTTTAAATACTTATATAGATAAACAAACATTAAAAGCAGGTTCATTAAAAAAATATACTATTACAACCTAGCATGATAAAAAATTAAAAGAGTATAAAAAAATATATATAACTAGCATAGTCAATGTGCACGCACGTTATAAAAAAGACTAGTATATATAAGCACAAGAGTGGTACCATAATTAGAAAAATAGACTTCTATAAAAATTAAGAGATGAACTCCTCACTAATTAAGAATATAGCCATATATGACATTTATTAATTTGATAACACTTTTTTTTTAAATGGATTTATTAAATATTGTGTCAGTTTTCAATGCATCAAAATTATTAGCCGTTCTTATTTTTGTATTGATTTTCTATCTTGGCAACTACTTTCCTTTGGTATATTCTTTATATGATAACAATAAAAAAATGCAAAAAGAAATAAATAAATAAATCTGATAATAAAATATAACCTCAGATAAAAAGGACACCATCTACAAGGCAAACCACAAAAACCAAAAGGATTTATATCTGAGAGACATGGCAAGCCAAGACCAGGCGGTGAAGCTTTTGGGAGCATGGTTCAGTCCATTTGCTCACAGAGTGGAAGTAGCACTGAAGCTTAAGGGCATCCCTTACGAGTTTGTGGAGGAAGATTTAGCCAACAAGAGCCCTCTGCTTCTAAAATACAACTCAATCTACAAGAGAATACCTGTTTGGAGGAAGATTTAGCCAACAAGAGCCCTCTGCTTCTAAAATACAACTCAATCTACAAGAGAATACCTGTTCTTGTTCAAAATGAAAGACCCATCGTTGAATCCCAACTCATACTTGAGTATATTGATGAGACTTGGAAACACAGCCCTCTGTTGTTGCCTCAGGATCCTTACCAGAAGGCCATGGCTCGTTTCTGGGCTAACTTTATAGATGACAAGGTATGCAGTCTTTCCTTACGTTATCTAAGAAGAAATAATATAGAAAATAATTCAAAAAGCTAACAATTTAAAACTTTCAATTGATTTCCTCTTGAATTTGTTTTTCGAATAATTTTCTTCTAATTTCTTTAAATCTTTTTAGTATAAAGTGTTTATATTCGCCAAGTAGAACAAGTTTATAAATTTAAATGTTGTTTGGAACTTTGTTTTTTTAATCTATGAAGGTATGTGAAAAAATTCTGACTTTAAATTAAGATAAGGAATTTTTGTTATCTCATAAAATTGGAGTCCAGTCCAGATGAAATTCGGATTATTCATATTATTGAATCATATATGTTTTTGACCAAGTCTAAATTTGAGAAATGTCACAAGAATATAAAAGCATTGACTCGTTCAAATTATAATTTCTTTTCAAGAATAATTGAGATAAGTGATCTGAGCAATAATATATATTATTAGGATTAAAATAAATGAAAAAAGCTACAAATTAATTAATTAAAAAAATTGAAAAGTAATTGAAAAAAATTAGATGAGATAAGTGATTAAAATAAATGAAAAAAGCTACAAATTAATTAATTAAAAAAATTGAAAAGTAATTGAAAAAAATTAGATGAGATAAGTGATTAAAATAAATGAAAAAAGCTACAAATCACAAAGCTACAAATTCAATCTCAAGTCTTAAAAAAAAATTGACACAAGTAATTGAAAAAAATATAGATGAGCCAGACAAACCAGACAAGTGGCAAGCTGTCAATCTCTCTCCTTT